AAAATACTACATTCAATGAATTATATTCAAGCATAGCAAGTGTCTTTCAAAGGTGAATCAGTAGCAAGTCACAGAGCGCGTTTGCACTTCTGCAACCTGAGATTACAGGTAATTTTAAAATCAGAACACCACTTTACAGCTTGCACATCATAGCAACAGATCTTTTTGATGAAGAGTTAATAAACTGTTTCTACTAAGAAACAGAATTTTCTTAATGGAAAATATGATAATTTTGTACAAGATGGACAATAAACTGCTGCTTCAGCATGAAGCACATATTTTTGCTTGCTTTAAGCCAAAGCAATAATATTTATTTCTAGAATTTTAATGAAACAATGCCTAAAAGCGTCACTTAAGAGTAAGTGAAATAATCAAACAATTTGATGCAGAAATTTTACATATAGTATCTGAAATTCTAAAAAAATGAGAAAATACCATTAACTCACATATTGAAGAAAGTTAAGCCAGAACTTGTAGGCTTTAAGATCATCATCAGTGTTGAATCTTAACTCCAGTATTTTTGTTCACCTGGTATTGCACATATTCAACCCTCTTTGGGCACCCCATCTCTGAAATATGAAGACCGAGTGCAATCCCTAATATGCACTACCACCCATGAAAGCAATTGTACCTTGACATACATGGTTTTTCTTGTCTTAAGTTGGGGCTAATGATTACAGAACTTTTAAACTCTCCTCAGAGCAATTTCTGAGTATAATTCATTGGATAAATGACAAGATTTCAATAAGTGCAAAATATTTTTTTAAGTTATTCCAAACGGTTCAACCATCAATTGCTGTTTGGAAAATAAGCAACTGAAATATGCACTAAGATCAACTTTGGAATTAATGATCCAATATTCTGGATGTGAAAAATGTAATTTATCCAAAAACACACATACTTTAATTCAGTAGACTTACCTTGTACAATTCTAAAAACAAGAAAACATTACAGGAAAAGAGAGCATATTGATTTTGTAATAATTCCTTCACATAATGCAGACAGAAAAAAAATACCTTTCTTTAGATCATTAAGCAGTGCTAGTAAAAGGAAATGGAAATAACATGAAGAAAAGAAATAAATCCTACCCTGAACGCCCACTTTAGGTAAAAAGCTGAAGTAATTTTTCACAATCAGCAATTTTTTTGATAAAACTTGTTTTCACAATCTTGAAGAGTAACTTTCCCTGGCCTAACTTTATGACTTTAAAGGTACATTTATTTGGCAAAAAGCCTGGCACAAAACCACCTTTATAATAAATACAAAAAATATCTTTCACTAATGGTCAAGCTGCATGTCAACTGAGCAAAGATAATAAAGATAATAAAGCTTGTGTTTCCCCAATTTTTACAATTCTCATTATTGAAACAACGTAGCTGGCACATCACTTGTACTAACAGTAGAATCATAATACTTTAGATTAAACTGGTGTGACCAAGCAGCTACTTAGGAACCACCTGTGCTTGAACAGTGGTAAAACCACAGCTCTCTGAGAAATAATAAATGTCAAGAAAAACAGATATTCACAAAGGGGGCTGGGGGTGGGATTTGTGGCCTTTCTGTAAGAGCCCTTTGCAAGTCCTTCCACGGCACACAGTGCACCCTTCCACCTCTGAGCACCAGCAACATTCCTGAACGGCAGCACAGCTCCCTCTGTGCCACCAGCTCCTGCTCCCAACCCAACACAGGTAGGAAGCAAACCAAAGGAGACAACACAGGTGGAGTGAGATTGTTGGGGGAAGTGACACAGCAGTTCAGATCACAATGGAGAAAGGTAGGAGGCAAAGCTGAAAAAGGAACACCACAGAAAGTGGGAGAGTGCTGAAGCCAGCTGTTTATGACATGCTATGGAATGTTTTTATGGCTGCCAAATTGTGCAGGGTTGGTCACTCCTGGTCTCATATTTGCAGTGCATAATGGGATTAAGTAGGAATGGTAGCTGTAAAAATCTGGACCTTTATCAGTTCATTTGAGTTTCATCTTAGCACCTGCATTCTTTCAGGCAGTTATTTCATTAATCATGAAGTCATAAACCTTTTAGGAAAACTCTGACCCTTTGCAAGGAGGGCCTCACTAAACTAAATACTTACCTTGAAAATACCATCCATAAGATTTCAGATAATATAGTACTAAAACTAGCTTAAATGTGTTATTTCTTCACTGTGGAGTGCAGTGGCAGATGCACCCTGGCTACACTGCCAATCCTATAGAAAAGAACTCTGTGTTAATATCTGTCCTGGTCTAAGGCATTGCTGCTGCCTTTGGTGTTGGTTTGTAGAGGTTTTGCCATTTTGCCTTATGCTTTCACATAAGAAACTATTAAAAAAGGAAGTATATATATGTTTAAAATGTGGTTTGTTAGAATTAGTGTCTAGAGGAATACATTTCTCTCATCTCTTCTCAACTTGTGTTTACAGGAAGTAAGAAAATCTAAACTAATCTTAACTAATACTTTAAATAATTTTAAATGCAAGATTACTTCCAACTTATATGATGCAGAGCTTGAACTTCTGACCAACAGTTCAAAATATAAATGAACTCCTTATGAACTCAGTTCTGACCTTAGGAGTTTCAAAGCTGAAATGCAATGGTGTATGCTGCAATAAATGTTGCACAAATACTCTCCTGCTGACCATGTGATCAAAATCACATAGATCATGAGAAACAGATAGAGAGTTCTTAAACTTATTTTTGTGCAAATGAAAACATGCAGACTAAAAAGAAAGGGAAGAAGAATATTTATAATTTTTAATACCATCAAGATTTCCTCAGAGAATAGCAAGTGCTTATAAAGCTCAATACATAGTACTCAAAACCCCAGCAACAATAAATGGCTTGGTTGTTCTGTGCCTTTTTCCCCCTGGGGATTATGGGTTGCATGTATATTGACTTGTTAAACAGGCTGAGTACTTTTATGTCTGGACTAAATGTCTTACATCAAAACTCTACCACTAATGGCACCTCATAGTAGTCAACAGCAGCAGAACTGTCAACTTCCTCAGGATGTCTTTAGAAGTTCCTAGTCATGAATTATCTAGTTATATTTACTGTCATCTCTACTCCTTGACCACCTACTCAAATTTTAGATAATTCTGCAAAAATATCCATACAGAGATACAATAGAGCTATTTAATGAGCACCTATACATGCTAGGAAACACCTGAAAATCATTATTTTTCTGCTTTTGCTTACACTACTTAATCCAAAATAAAACATATTGACAGAAGATCTTCATGCTCTCTAAACTGACTTCAGTTAATTGGCAAAAATTTGAAACACCAACCAAGGTGTTTCTGAGCTTAGACATTTAAAACAGTCGTGCAGAGAAAACAAAAAGAAAATAATTTTGCCCTAACAAAGATACATCTTAACAAAGGATGTCTTAACTTACTCATTGGGATTTCCAGCCTCTTTTAGCTCCTTGATAAAAAATTTCTATTTAACAAATTTCAAATCTATAAGTATCATTAGTGAAATCAAGAAGCTGAGAAGTCCTCAGCTGGACAAACTTCATGAAATTGACATCTGTTGTCTCAAATCAATACTAAAGTTAGGAGCAAGAATTACATACATGTGTGCTCAAACAATCAAAACTGGTTTTGTTGTTGACACTTCTATTTGATTTCATGTAATAAGAATCATATCAAAGAATAAAGTTCTGAAGAAGATGGTTTCTGTTTCAAAATTTCACTGTAAAACTGAAAAGCAGACCTCTTGATGATACACAATCTGCAAGAGACAATTACTGATTAAATTTGTATAACTGATGTATTTTTTAACATTTATTTTAAATATTACATGTGCAAAAACCAGCAAACTATTCAAGACTATTCATTTTAGATAGGTATTTTTCTGTCTGAACGATATTTTTTCTGGAACCACTTACTGCCTTTTGAAATATTGGTACTTCTTCCAAAAAGTTTACAGATTAGTAGGTAGTATTTAACTTAGGAAAAAGACATTTTATTGCAGAAAGCTGTCATGCTGAATACTGTCATATAAAATGACAATAGCTGCAGTTTCTGTATTTTTCAATCTGGTTAAGGGCTGTCAGTCAATTCATAAACACAGCACTGTCACCTAAGCAAAAATAGATTCAGATTTTAAAACTGCCTTCTATTTGCAAAGAGTTAAATCTTTATTCAGAATCCCAATAAAGTGCCTTGTATTTATTCTCATTTCCTGCTTTCCCAGAGAGAAAAAGGTGGAAAAATGTATCCACTTATATGCTGCAGAACTAAGAGACATAAAACTTTCTCTGTACACAGAGCTTGCTTTTTACATCTCTGTTCAAATCAATACCAAATCTTCCCCTTTTCAATAGATTTGACATATACAACAAGGAGTAAAAAGTTACCTGTGATGGAGTACTGCAAGTTCTAGACTGTAAATAACAAACAAGAAATTTACTTCCCTTACCTCAGCTTTTTCACCATTTTAAATCGGTAAAAGTTGAAATATTAACATTTGTTTTATCCTCTTTTTTCCTCTCTGCTCTTTACTTTCTATCATCAAAGCACATTTTGAGATGACTTTGCACCCCACACAGTCCATAACACCATATTCAACACCCCTGAACTGCATCAGACAGTAAGGCTGGTGCAGAATAGTGCTGTGTAGTCAGAAGCCAACCTGTACAGGTCAAGGTACAGAAGCTCAGGCTCACTTTCTCCTGTGATCTTCAGAAGAGAACAGAACCACTGTAATACTTTCATTTCATTGATTCAGATCACAGCTCAAAACCATAAATAACTGAAAATGTAATGCCAAAGGAATGGAGAACTGCAACTCATGAACAATTCCTTGAATCTGACTCAACATGAAAGGGATTGTACCACTGAACTACATTCCCCAATAAATATTCTTCAAATTAGCAGTGAAGAAATTAACTGCCTGCATTTGCCTATCACATATCACTGGAAAAACTGGCAATATTTCCAGTTAAATTTTGGTAATGCAAAGTAAAAACCAATTTAATGTCTTTGAAATGGTATACTCACCTCATCTAAGTCTTTAATATAAACAATTTTCTCTTCAATACCAATAGGCATTGGTTCACTATGGGGGATCTTCACCTCTTCATACATTTTATTATTTTCTCGCTGAACTGACTCTGGTAAGAACACCTGAAAGTGTATTACAGGAAAATTAATTAAAAGTATGAAAACAGAAAGTGTCATTATGAATAACTCACTTTGAACAATGCTTTATCACTTTCCTCCAAAAAATGGATCCAAACCAAAAGCAAATCTCACTTATCCTTTTTGTAGATAGAACTGAACCCCCCAAATGGAAAATAATCAGTTTTACTACTCAGAAAATAGTCCCAAAACCCCAAAAAAGATAATTCTGTTTTATTAAATTTCAGAATCCATTAGGTCTAGAATTTCATAAAGCATTTATTTTGTTAAAGTCAATTCAAAGGTATCCAAAAGAAGGAAAAAAAATATCTTAAGAATTAAAATGACCCTAGAAATAAAAGCAAATACATCAGTTGAAAATTATATTATTTCTTCCAGCGTCGAAATAAAAATAAAATATATCAAAGTGTTTGAAACCCTCTGCAAAGAAGCACTGCTTCATACGTTGGATTCCAGAGGGAGGAGACTAAGGAAACAAAGGGAACCCTGCTGCACATTACTCATGGGGAAGGATGTACTGTTCAAGAAGGGTCATGCACCAACCTACCTTTGCACCCCCAATGAATGCTGATGTTTTCATAGCTTCAGCTCGGGAATCATAGACATGTGGATAATGAATTTTTTCGACGCTCATCTCTCTCTGTCTACCTAGGACTGGCATACTTCGAGCATTCAGCAGCGCTAGTTCTCTGTGGGCAGAAAAATACCTGCAGGAATTCTGCCCATTTCAGGCTGCCATCACAAAAACCGAGCGCGGTATATTAAAGTCAGAGCAAGATTTGAGGAAATGAAATTTAAAAAAAAATTACAGTATTATTCTCTGGCACTAGTTAGACCAAAACCTTAAAACATAGAGTTTAGGTAAAATTCAGAAATGCAATCCAACAAATGCAAGGCTTTCCTAAAAGTAGTTTTGACTCTTTTTAAGCAACACAGCAACATGATTTCACAGTTAGATACCAGTCTCACTATATTTTTCTCAATACAAAATACAACAGCTTATTTGCTCCTTATTCTCTCCCTCCTCTACTCCTCCCACTACCTTCTAGCTGTCAACTTGGAAAATAGTACCCATTAATCTTGAGAGAGAAAAAGAAAGATAGTTCTGATAGATTTAGTACAGACTTCATAAATCCTAAGCAAGCAGTGTGCATACAGGAACTAAGAAAGATAGCCTACCCCACTAATCTGCAATTCCAGCCCACAGAGATGAGATCAAGAAGATTCTCATTAAGCAAATCACTGCTTTCTTTCCTGAAAATTAGGTTTTCATATTAAAAAAAATTCTACGCTTGTAATAAAACGTGTCTTGAAGTCAGAATCACCTTATCACCAAAGCAAGCTAAAAGAAAATAAACTGTTATGATATGTTGAAGTAGCAATTACAATAGAAGCATTTCTCAACTTTTGGGATTTATTACCTTTGCATCCGCAGCTCTTTGGGATCAAAGGACATTTGTCCTTCTCCAGAACCTTCTCCATCTTCCACAGCTTGTTTTTCTTTTCTGGCATTTCTTTTTTCTTCCCGACGATATTGCTTCATTAACAACTTTTCTTGTTCAGACTGAATTGTGACTTGACAACCATAATTTGGTTTAGCATTTTCTCCTATGAACTTCTTGCACTGTTCTGCAATATGATAACAGAGATGCATCTCCATAAGTACTGGATTCCATCTTTTCCCCCCAGTTTTGTTCTAAAGGTTTGGGGGCTTCATGCTTGTTTTGGAGGGTTTGTGTGTGCATGTGTGAGTGTATTGTGTGTTTAAGAATAGTTTAACTTTATGTAGACTATGCAGCAGTTGGCTCAAGACATCTACAAGTACAACCAGGTCATGTCCCAAAGGCAGGACATCTAAAATACACTTAATCCCAAAGCAAGGGGATGGACTAGCAGCAAAAGGAAGGACATTTTTTGTTTTCTGTATTTGTAACAACTTCATCTACAGTGGAAATGCCACTTTGCCTCTTATCACTGCTCTTACATACATGCGCTGATAAGCAGGATGGCGTGACAACAGATTAAACAGGGTGGGTTTTTTTTAAACAGCCTCTTCACATAACAATTAGTGTATATAAACTAGATAACATGACTGCATTGAAAGCATACACACAATGCAATTTCCCTGAACAAGTGAGGAAATCTATCCTACTCTATACAATCACAAGGAGTCCTTTCTTTTACATCAATAAGCAGCAGGATTATGAAGAAGAATCAGAACCACAGAACAATTACAGTAAACAATAAATCCAGGGGAGCAGGGGACCCAAAAAGCTCAGTTACATTCACCTTTCTGAGATGAGTACTGGCTAAAACTGAAGACACAACCAAGTCTTTCATATACAACAGGCTGGGAGAGATTTATTTTGTTTTCATTTTAACAATCTTGGTGGTTTTAAATGTCATTTTTCAAATTTCTGCAAACATTATTAGTTCATATAGGTTTGACTGCATATTAAATACTTACTTAGGTTTCATATGAACTTCTGCAGCCAAACTCTGAAGCGAAAAACTTGAAAACCTTCTTTCATCAAATAAACCCACTTGACTGACATTTTGAACAATTTGTGCTGCTTAGTTTTCACCTACAGCAACAGTGAAACTCCTACATCTTACAGCATGCATACTGGATAAGGCAACAATAACTCGTTGAAGAGCATTGAAAAAATTCTAATAAACTGTCATAATGTCCACATTAACACCATATTGTCTGCAGCTTTTAACTCTCTCTCTCTCTCTCTCTCTCGTATTAAAAGGGGACAACAACGGACACAATTTCCTGACCAAATTTAATTCAGACTGAACACACCAGGGCAAAGAAATGTTACGTGATTTGTCTGATAAACACAACAATCACCTTTACTGTCATGAAAGTAAATTACATAAGAAATAGTCAAATAACACAGCATGGTACAAAAAAGCAGCACATGTACAGTTTCTTGACTTGTGCTAATTTTTTAAAGGCACAAATGACTCAAAATTGATTAAATTTCTGCAGACAGAAATTAGTCTCTTCCCCAAGTGAAATTTTGGAAAGATAAGACTTCCCCATTAGAAATACCATTTTGATCAACTTAAAAAGAATAAAACCTTATTAAAATTAAAATACTGAACTCAGGGCCAAGAGCATCTTCAGTCTCAGAGAAAATACCCTTAATATCACTGACTTTTTTACCATAGTTAAAGAAAGGATTCTCTCATCAGTGAAAAAAAGCATTAAATCAGTTAACGCTTTTCAATTGTCTGAAAAACATAACATTGAAAATATTCTTCCTCCACATTCTAGCAGAAATTACTGTGATAGATTTTACTGATGGCATAATGAAGGGTAATTTCATAAAAGCTTCCAAAATACTAATTCTGCTAAGTGAGAAGAAAATACTCCTGTAACTAAACTCTGTACACAGGAGAAAAATGTATTAATTCAATTTATACTGAATGTATTTTAATTTTTTATTTCATGACCTAAGAAAGGAAAACTATCAGGACAGAAAGCCTTGTCATACAGCAAGACAATCATCTTTGAAATCATGAAAGGTAAAATTAACAGTTGTTCTGATGAGTTTAGACTAACCATTAGCACAGCAAGAGATGAACTTCTGAACACTTGCTTATGTAATGTTTCATTGAAGACAAACATTAAAAGGGGTCAGTTGCATTTTAAAATTATTTTGGAGTTACATAAGTCCACCATTACTGGCTCTATTCACATTTTTCCAACTCCATATGCTGTGAACACGCAGTGGGCTGCATGGTGCTATGTCCATGTAAGATTTATCCCAAGTCACAACCCATATGCTATCAGATTTATTTTTGTCAGAGAAGAAATTTATAAGACTTGTTTTAAACCAATGATCTGTAAAACTTATTTTAAAATAATTACTTGTTGCAGACATATTAACTTATAAAAGCAAAAATGACAGTACAAAACCCGAATTCCTTTTTTTCACCCTCTCGCTTATTCATGCTTAAGTTTGACTCTATTATTTTCAGAAGTGGTTATAACTGTGCTTTTCTTCCCCAAGGCCTACATTAGATGATAGTACAAAGTAGAGAGGAAGCAGGAAAGCAAATGAGGAATAATAGAAGATCAGATTATTTCCAGAGAAATCCATTAAAACAGGAAAAGTGCAACTGTTAATACATTCAAAATTTGCACATGCCCACAGGCAGTTAAAAACTAAATAAATATATGCAATCTATATTTGTTTCTTCTGTATAATCAGACTTTCTTTGCTTAAGACCAGAAATACATTCCTCCATTGTCTCCTGGGATTTTTTTGTTTGTTTTTAAATTACACATGGACAGTACTACTGTTGGAAATAGAACAGTTAGAAATCTATTTTTATCTGATTTGGAACAAAAATTTTGTAGTCACTTACCTTGGAGAGCCTGGAACCTGTTATCATTTGGACAAGTCAAAGATCTTTCCAGAATCAGAGATCTGTTCTGTAGGAGTTTCTCTATGAGTTCAAAACCTTCAGGGCCTAGCAGCTCAAATAACTACAAAGAAAATAAAGTCATAAGTCATATCCTAATGTAGATAAATTTTTAAATATTTCTATCCTTGGCAACATCATATCTCTTGACAATATCTAACAAATTAATGAATTTCACTTCCCAGTAATTTAATCCAAAGGGTATAATTTCTAATACCAGGTTCTCTATTACAAAAAGGGAGAATTACAGAAAGTTTTCAGCTGGAAATATTTAAAAATCTGTGAATTTTGTCTATTAAGTAAAACTCACTTTCTCTTGGGGGTTCTTATATAAAATTTAACTCTTCTCAAGACTAAACTTTACATGTCTTAATGGTTATTTACATATACTGTAAATTTACTTCTCGATAATCTATGCAGATGAGTCAAGAGAACCAATGCTTTCTCATGGAAGTCAGGTATGTAGGAAGTTATTCCCTTTATAGTCAACAGGAGGTGTAGCCTACTGTATTGTCACAGGCTTGTCCTACCAAAACAAATATCATCGACAAGGAGTACAGCAGGAATATGAAGAAACATTTAAGATGACACTACTACTGACTTCAGTACCTGTACATATAATCCTGTTGTAATTTGAACACACAATGTAAGTGATGTACACCAGAAGAGAATTCTGTTCCAGTAAGTGGTATTTTGGCCCAATAATACTCTTACTCAAATGATTCTCTTGTAGCAGGTTAGACAAACACAGTTCCCCATTTAAATTCCATTTTCCACATAATACTGTACTTTAATGGAAAAAAAAACCCCAAAACATTAAAAGTACTTTCATCTCTATCTTATCTATAATTATTTTGTCAAAAATCATAGCATCACAGTAAGCAGTAAGTTACTCAAAACGCATTTTTGATTTTTAATACTGTTCAAAACAACTTTTTCTCCTTTTTTTTTTCTGTTTCCAAAAAGGAAAACAGGGCAGTTTCTCCTTAGTGCTTTTTGAATTTGCTGCTAATATTATCCATATAATTCAGGAATCTGGTAAGAATGAAATGTACAATGTACTTTGATGTGACGTTCTATGAAAGAGTAAGACTTTGGCACTGTAGGATTCAAGCATTTCTGTTCTAACTATAAAAGGAGAGAGAGGTCTCTTAGTGTCCTGTATTTAATTTGCCAACTCCTTAACAAAGAATTTTTCTGTGGCTCTCTATGACTACTGTCCGTGGGGAACACCTTGAGAAAACTTTATGTTACCTCTTCACATATTTGCAAAATTCTGAACAGAGCCAATGGCATCAAATCAATGATCCCTTTTTTTCAGGTCAATTTGTACTTCATAATAAAAGCTGTCATTTAAAAATAAGGGAGGGGAAAAAAAAGGAAAAAGTGTTACTCCAGGCCTTCAGGGGTATCTAGGAAAACATAAGGTTTCTGCAAATTAGTACAGTGATGGTGCAGTTTACAGACACCATGAACTAACAGCTGAATGGTATAAAAGCTTGTATTTCTTTAATTAGACTAACCAGGGATGGCAAGCTGGAGAAGCAGTCTCCAGAAAATAAAAGAATTCAATAAATGTGGACAAATAGAAGATTTTCAAAATTAACATACTACAAAAATATAGAACAGGGTCAGACATCAATTCTGCTGTCAGGGATCTCAAGCTGTGATGGATTTCCCTTTATCCAGCCTTCACTAGCACTGATCATTAATTCTTCTATTTTGCATAGCTCTTTACTGTCACTTTACAGACATATTTTAACTAATATTATCTGAAGCTATAAGATGACCTTGCTTTTACATTTCAAAAGAAAGTGGCAATTTAGCACTGGTAAATTTGAGGAGGTATTAAGAGAAGGGGAGAAAAATAATCACTGAAGCAGCAAAAAAACAAATGTATTTGAAATAGCTTAATTGTATAAAGAACTGAACACAAACTTGTCTTGACTTATCTAATGATTTCTTGAATATGAAATACCAGCAACACAGGGAAATTAAATTCTTTCAATGCAACCAGATCTGGGCTCAAACACTAATTTCTCATCAAGGCAGCAGACACAATGTAAGCACATTCTGACTTAGCATGTTACTCCCCCAAAATGCCCAAACTCAAACTCACACCACCACCATCACCATCAGAAGACAAATAACACACTAGCTCTAAAACATCCAATGTAGATCTCTATCTCTGCACAGGACGTCAAAACATCTCTCTCACTTGAAGTTGTTAAGAACAATCTAGAAAAGCATCAGTCAGAAAAGATGGTATTTGCTGGGGAAATAGATAATATCCTTTTTTTTAAACAGGACAATGTTTTCCCAATCTATTCTGAAACAAAAACCTCCATATCATAATCTTCACCCAGTAAGAACAGCGGAACCTCACAAAGAAGCAGCAATGTTACACAATACATCCTGCTTCATGGTCAGACATCATGAAGCAAAAACTCCAGCCCCAGTGAGACAGGGGCTCAAAGGAAGAGCACCAAGGTGAAATTGGACATCCCCCTCTCCAGCCATCCTACCAGTCAAAGAGAGCAAAAGCCATACAATACTCGCCAGACTCTGCAACGCCTGTGTGGTGAAAGTCACTCCATTTTGCCTTCTTCATGGGTGGACAGATACTCATGTGCTACCAGCAGTTTGAGAGCTGGCTTGGTCACCTAATTAACCTTGCTGTTTCTGAATATAAAGGAGGTTTTCAGGACATTTTAAACAGCTAAGACAGAGTAAGCTCATTGCTCAAGAATGACGGGAAAAGCAAAAAAGAATATAGAAGATCAGAAGCAATGACCCGTTTTTATTGAAAGATGTCTCCCATGCTCACCAGAAGCCTGCCAGAGCTCATGGGTGGAAAACAACAATTGAGAGCTAAACCAAGCAGAAGTACTGAGAGACAAAGAATAAGTTACACAGCAAGATCTCTCACCACCTATTACTGATGATAGCAATACTGACAAAAATGCTAGAAAAAGTTTGCAAAGACCAGAAATAACTAAACTTGAGAACTTGCAAGACCAAAATATTATTAATATTTGTTCATACTGTAGGAGTAATCATTGCTTTCTAATTAAGGTGTAAATAACTATCAGAGAATGCTGCTGTTTTAAAATACAATTCTTTACCTTATCATTTTTTGATGCTTATGAAAACACATCCATGCAGGAGGCTTATTACTATCAAAATCAGAGCAGGATAATGAGAAGTAAAATAGCCTATAAAAATACCTTCTCCCCACCCCTCTCTCCTTCCCAGCTCTACTTCCTCTCCCAGTGGTGTAGGGAGACAAGGAATGGGGGTTATGGTCAGTTCATCACTGGCAGTTTCTCCCACTGTTCAGGGAAAGGAGTCCTTTTCCTGCTGCACTGTGGGGTCCCTCCAAAGGGAGACAGCTCTCCAAGAGTCTGTGAGTCCATCCCACAGGCAACAGATCCCCTCAAACTGCTGCCATGTGGGTCTTCCACGAAGTGCAGTCTTTCAAGGACAGGCTGCTCTGGCATGGGTTCCCCATGGGGTCCCAAGTCCTAACCAGGAAACTTGTTCCAGCATGGGCTTCTCTTTCCACGGGTCTGCAGGTCCCTGCCAGGAGTCAACTGCATGATAAATTTTCATCTTCTTAGATATGTTATCACAGAGACATAACCACCATTTCTATCTGGCCCAGCCTTGATCCACAGTACATCCATCTTTGGCTCTGCCAGACATGGGAGAAGCTTCTAGGAGCTTCTCACTGAAGCCACCTTTGAAGCAGCCCCCGCTAGCAAGGCTTGGCCATGTAAAACCCAATCCACCAGGGTAGGCACTAACATTTCAGATTTGATATGTTATTATATATTCTGGTCTGAATAATCAACACCAAAGACCCTGAGAGCAGGCAAAGGAATCTGGTAAATATTCATAGTTGACTTTCTATTAAGTTATAACGAGATAAACTAGACAGTGGCCAACAGATGGAGAGGCTGTGTGTCAATCAGCAGTTTCTTGAATCCCAGCCAAATTACTACACTCCTTGAAGTCAGTAATAGATTATGCCCAAAAGGCAACTCTGATTGCCTCCACTAACAAAGCTCCCACATGACTTCAGCTACTTCTCTGTAACCATGAAAACATAGATGAGTGAGATATATGTCACTGATATTTTTTTGAGTGATTGTTACATTTCATTTTATGTGCTTAATATCTGGAAGAAAGCATATTGAGTAATCAATGTAGGAACAAAAGGACAAGATGTGTCATATTGCATTAGAAAGGTGAGGCAAGGTCCCCATGCAAATGATTTCTCCTGAATATAGGCTAGCTTTATGGAAAAGGCAAGGAGGCAGACAAGAGTCTTACATATAGACAGCAGTCCATCTGCTAGAATTACCAGAAAGGAGTTGAACCCCAATGAGACACACGACATAGCAAATTTTTTCAAGTAAGGCTCAGACATAAAAAAGTACATCTTTATATTCAAGACTGGAACAAGATTTTACTCTGAATGTTAAATAGGTACTATTCTCTTTTCAATTCTATAAAGTATAATTTAAAAGGAGCTTTGGAGGTCCTCAAATATGAGGCACGGAACTGTGAGTAATACTTTGACATCATAAACTATCTGCCATCACAAGGACATTTTCTTGACTTCTACATCTTCCCTGAGGTGGGAAAGAGCCCTATAAATCTCAGAAAATGTTTTGTTTTACAAGTGCACACAAAAATAGACTACGAAAGTCCTTGTACCTCACTTGAGTCTTAGTACTGTTCTACAGCAATAAATGAAACCGAAACCCAAATTCAGCCAACCAGTGGTTGTCCTCTGTACTTTTATAGCCCAACAGGAGGTTTTGGTTACAGAGTCCCATCTACCCAATTAACTGCTACCCCTGCATTTTGTGGCTTGTTTGCAGATTATATTGCTTTACAAGGCACAGTTTTGAAACAGCTGTGGAAGAATAATCACCATAGCAAGATTTCAAGTTTCTTCTGTCCTAGTAGCTCTGAAGCAACTGAAATGATTGCTTCATTAAAAAAAATTATAGGGTAAATAGAACATTCTTCTTGGGCTACAGGCTTATTGGAAAG